TGAATCCCAAGCTGTAATGAAGATTCTCAACACATTCATCGAGTCAATTCCGACTCACAGGGACCCCATAGGGTAGAGTAGAATTTCCCCTGTGGGTTTCCAAGATGGTAACTCTTTCTAGAAATAAAAATTTCCTTTTCTCTCTCGCAGAGCTGCGATGGCTTCAAGCCACTGAGCTGGCAGTTGGCATCCCAATGCACAGCTCCACTACGCCACCAGGGCTCCTATATAAAGAAGTTGCATGTCAAAGAAATGGCTTTATTCCGAAGCCGCGTCTCCCAATCTGGAATGTGCTCAATAATACCTGTGAGCTTGTTAAAATGTAGTATGTCAGTCAGGTGCCGGGAGATGTCCACAATGACCCCTGGGCCACTTGTGTAATAGCCACAGATGCTAAACGACCCACACCTTCAGTCGCACCCTCTCTCTCAAGGCCTAAGTAAGCCTGGGGTCTGCTTCCAATCAAGGCACAGTGGAGGCCCAACAATCAAACGCTCAACTGCTAACTCTAAAGGCAGTTGGAGCCCGCCAGGAACTCCGCAGCACAACGGAGTCTGAGGTCTCCCTCTGTGACAGTTACCGCCTTGGAAACCCCGTGGAGCAGTTCTAATCTGTCTGTGTGGTCAAGCAACATCAGGATAAACAGAAAGGATTGAAACTGTCAAGGGTTTCATTTTCTATCAGTGCCCTTGGCAATAGCAGTCAAGAAAACACGTGGTGGACTGCACTGAGCAAAATCTGCTGCAAAGGACCTCTTTAAAGCACCCCAAAGTAAAGATGTCACTTGGAAGACTTAGGGTACACCTGACTGAAGCCACGGTGGGTGCTGTATGTGTTATGTTCTGTTGGACAAAGGGTCGATGCGTCGGAATTGACAGCCCTCACTATCAGAAGGACCACTAAGTCTGTACTTCTCACTGGTGCGGCACCATGCAGTACACCCACAACTCCTCTGCTGTCACTCCTGCGTTTACACAATCCACTGGTGACCTGGCATCAAAACCAAGGAAAGCCACACCAGCTCCCATGGGGTCCATTCCGACTCACGCAAACCCTGTAGGTATCAGAATGGAACTGGGCTCCACAGGGGGCCAATGGCTATGAGCTATTGGGAGGGGAAGATTACCGTTCACACCAACTGGCCTCCAAAGTGTTTAAAACAACAATACAACAATTGCAATTCTTCCTGGCCACCCCCCACACTTGTAGACCATGCTAATTTCCCTGAGTGAGGTAATGCTCAAACAGGTCAAGCACAAGCCTGGCTCCCTCAGGAGGAAGCTGACGTTCTAATAAGTCCTTCACCCAGCCCCTGTGCTTGATCCTGGTGGCTGATGTCTGCAGAGACTGGCGATGAACTGCCACAGCCCAGGCAATGCAGTCACGGTGTCCATCCTGTTCTCACAGCCTCGTGCTCATAGGGCAAGGCAGACCCCACTGGAAAGCTCGGGCAGAGCCTCACCCGGCGGGGTGCTCCTGTATGAAACGTCATGTCCACCTGCAGATACTTACTGAGTATTTGCTGCATATATCCCGCTCGGCAGTGCAGTCCACTTCAGCTATCTTGACAGCGGCCAAGCCCGGGAATTCCTTCTTAGAGAGGTCTTCCCAGGTCGGAGCCAGGTTCTTACAGTGGCCACACCTAGAACACAACGACAGCGCCTTCACTCGCAGCTCCCTGCCAAGCCAAGGCTGTTTCTTCCGCACAAGGCAAGGCATAACTGACTGTGTGGAAATGAGTAGACGTGGACTTCTCCCCATAGGCACATACATGACACCGCTCTTCCTCCACCTCCACCTCCTTCTCTCCCTATCCCTAACCAGGGACTCAAAGGCAACCCCGAGGAGGTTTCCAGGTTCACTGATAGAAGTAAGAGGAGCTGGAAACAAGTGGGGCTCCTCAAAGCCACTTCCATGAGCAGATAAAACAAAGCTCAGTGGTTGATGACTTCACCATGAGCAGAAGGCACAAACAAACACACTTAAAAAAAAACACACATTCCAAACGACTTTCCGTTTTCTTGCTTATGGTAGCAAAGCTCCCTTTAAGCGCCGCCGATTTGGTGTGGGCTTGAGGTCATTTAGCTTTGTTCACACCTTCCCTACTGTCCATCACTGTACTGACTTTCCTGTTCCACCCCTCGCCCCGTTCTAGGAAGGGCTCCCCTGAAAGAAGGGAGCTTCACCGCTGGGGGCAGAGGGTCTTTCGTTAATGGAAACAACCCGTTTTAAAGGCATCCTGACTTCACAACTAAACACTAGACAGCTCCTCTGAGTCACACTCGGGCTCATGACCAACTTGCCCTGTGGTTAGTCAGGCTTTTTCCCGAACGCCGGTAACCGAGGGCGCACAGTAAGGTGATCCCCAGTTCCCCTCGCTGGGAAGACCCCTAACATTCTCCCAGCACTGGCTTTTCCAAATGGACGGGGACGGCTTTATTTGAGCAGACTGCGTTGTCTGCTCAATGTTAAGGCTGAAGAAGCAAATTCAAAAGAATCAAAGTCCACCCAAAGTTGGCTGGCAAGGCTGACGGAAACCCCAGAGGAAAGCCTATACTAGTTCATAACATAGGCCAGAGCCTTTCCCTGGGGAGAGCTGCTCTTCTGCCTCCCCTGAAAAGAAAAAACAGACACTTTGTTGAAGAGATGAGGGCAGAATGAAGTGCCTTGAGACTTGTCTCTGGCTCCCTGCCTCCAATCCCATGTCGTCTTCCCACAAGCTATGGACAGCCACTTTATGTGCCGGACCCCAAGGGCCACGTCCTGGGAGGCTCAATGAAGTCTATGAGTAACTTACTGAAAACTGAGCTGCACTGGGTCTCCCGACAACGTCCTTAGTTTTAAAAGGTTTGGAAGTAAAGCTCTATCATCATGTTCATTCTTTTAGGAAAGCTACCCACTGGGAGAAGTACCTGACACCACCAACCCTGATCCTCTGGGTGGGCAGCATTCATGCACCATATCCCAACACATCGCATGCTCTACAGTTGCTTCTCGGCGCCACGGGCCTCGAACACACTGGAACGCAGGCGCGCAATGACGGCATTTCCTTCCTTCCAACAAGGATCCCCTCAGCACACGGGCCCACCCTCTCACTGGCAGGGAAATACAACATGTGCCCCTCGGCGAACCAGAAGGGCTTGGCGAAGGAGGCAGCCACTTACCACGGAGCGTAGAACTTGATGAAGGTGGTCCCCTCCAGAATAGTGTCGTCAAAGTTATTCTTGGTCAGTGCCAGCACAGTGCCCTTTGGGGAGGAGAAGGCCACAGTTCAGACACCCCAGTTATAGAGCATGGCCCGGGTTCACATGGCAATTATCAATGCCGGCGCTCATGAGCCAAGGTCCCAGCCAAATGTCCCCGCAGGTCACATCTAACGAGCTATGCTGAAGAGCAGAGAATTGCTCCCAGAAACCATGTGGGCCTGAGTCTACAGGTGCTAAGGGGGCAGGCCAGCACACATACAGGCGGTGCTGCCAGGTGGCCCCAACTGGCTCTACCCAGGTTAGTTCGGGAGCCATCGAGGCCACCCGAGGCCAGGGTGTGAAGAAGCCAGCTCTAGAGGCCCTGCGTGTACCTGCCAGGGCAGGAGGTCCACCTTCCCGGTCCTAAGTAATGACTGTTGACACACTGCCCGCTCTACCGCCTGCCCCGCTATCCCGGCTGTGCATCGGACACACGTACCGGCTCTGCAACTTTCAGAACCAGAGCCACCAGCCGTCTGCCCGTGTGCAACTCTGGTGACTTGAGCTGCTATGATGCTGGAAGCTATGCCGCCAGCATTTCAAATGGTGGACACGCTTGAGCGAAGCATCCCCATCAAGACGCACTAGGAGGTGAGGTCTGACAATCTGCTTCCAAAGACCAGCCCACTCCTATTGTCCAACAGGCTTGCGTCAGCTACGTCATCAGACGGCGGGGAGCCGGGGAGATGCAGCAGTAAGACAGCTGCAACGACAGATGCTGACACGGCCTGGGGGCTCAAGGGCAGCCCAGGGCTGCCCAGCACTTGTCCACAGAATCGACGTGGGCTGGCGTTCAACCCGACAGCAGTCAACAACAGGCCCTCAAAAGCAAAGGCTGTGAAAGGAGTCTTTAAAATTCTCCAGGAAAATGGGGCAAGTCCTAACTTCCTGAGGATGGCTACAACAATGTACCCAGGGTCTTGCTCGAGACCCAAAAAGCGCCCCGCTCAGAGGGCACAGGTCTGCGCTCCCACGTGTGGTGTTTGGTGCTGCGAGGCAGCGTGCTGCTCTCACTGACCCACCAGACACTGTGCTCGGCTGCGCGGAGAGAGAGACTGGGGGCTCCATGAAGAGTAGTGGTGATCTATTGAAAGTGGAGGGGTGGGGTAGTTCCACTGTGACATGGACCACCAGGCGGGGCATCTGCTCCACGGCAGCAGACACCGGTATTTCTCCCATACAGCTCTGGTGCTTTCATGGGAACGAGAATAAGAGGGACTGGCGTGCAGTTAACTGTCCTGGGGCTCACTCAAGGATGACATCTGCTACTGTCTCAGCGCCAAGAGGAACCCCTGCCTGGCGCGCCACCACGGAACACTGCCTCTTTCCTGACGGGCAGAAATACTGTGCCTCACTCACTGGAAAACCCACTTCATGGTGGAAAACTTGATTATAAATAGAAGCAGCTCTGGGTTTGATGACAAAATGCCTAGTATATAATTATGCTCAATTTGGGATGACCTTTTTAACCACCATGACACATACGCTTCTCAATCTATGTGGTCATAACTACAAAGTCATGTGTTTGCTTCTTCAGCCAAAGCTTGGGCTTGTCACTAACACCGGGCCATCCCCAGCCTACAAGCAAGCGCCCAGCTTGGGGCATGAGGTGACAAAGACCAGAGCTGTTCCCGCCTCGGGAGGCTGAGGCAGCTGGCTCCATTGGATTTAGGGCTGAACACACACGGGGCCTGTAGGCCCGAAGCCCAGGGGCAAAGGCACACCGTGGCCTCTACTCTGCCCAAACACCCTCCTGTCCCAAGCCAGAACTCAGGCTGCTCTGAGGTCTTCGGTGTGAACTGAAGTAGCAAGGTGGGTGGTCTGCGCTGGCAAAATGTTGATCACCAGAACTTAGGGGATTAGAAACTCCGGGCATGGTTTTCCCGGGAAACACATTCTGATTCCTCTCCAACAATCTCATTCTCACCCCCAGTTTCAGAGTCAGTTTCTCGCCCATAGTAAAGGACAAGTCACCTGTTGAGCCGGCTGTAGCTCCAGACCCATAAGTTTAACTCGTGGTTATGCTTTGGGCTGCTAACTACAAGGTCCACAGTTCGAAACTACCGGTTGCTCTGTGGGAGACATATGGGGTTTTCTACTCCGGTAATCAGTTGGTCTCGGAAACTCACAGGGGCCATTCTATCCTGTCCTGTAGGGTGGCACCGACTTGACGGCAGTGAGTCTGGTTTGGGGATTGGGCAAGAACACACACAAAGACTCCCAAACCTGGAGCCATCAAGTCTAGGCTGACTCTCAGCAGGCTGTGTGTTACCAGCAGAACTGAGATCCGTGGGGCTCTCTTGGCGGGGATCTTCCGACAGAACAGCTGTGCTGGGAGTTCAAACAGCCAACCTCTCAGTCAGCCGCTGACTGCGAATCAGGTGCAGCAACCCCCACCACCCCGAGAACCAGCATGTTGAAAACAGCTTATCACACTGACCCTCATATATGCCAAGGCCCCGGTTGCACCCCCTCTGCTCTCACATTCCCTCCCCGCCTACCCTCCAGTCGGTGCACCCAGGGGACCTGAACCCCTTACGCCGGCTTCTCCTCTCCACCTGTTGCCACAGCTTGGGTTGGAGTCGCAGTGTCCTTTGTAGCTGCATTTGACAGTTTGACATCTCCATCAGGTACGAAGCTGCCAACCACCTTTCTCAAGACCAGTCGGCTTGAAACCCTACAACGGTTCCCTATAAAGGACAGAACCCTTGGCAGACCACCAGAGCCTGTTACCACCCAGCTCCTGCCTGTGACCCCTGGTGCCCTCCATAGCACTCTTCTCTGCAGCCTGTTCCCCAGTCCCCACCCCACACCCGACCCCCAGGCCCCTGCTGTGTGCTGAACTGTGCAGCCCCTCCTCCTGGAGCACCTGCCCACCACTGGGCTCCCCAGTGACCTCCGCCCCCCACCCTCCACCATCTCTCAAAGAGCCCTGAGGGCCCTCCCGCACGTTGCTCCCTGCCTGGGGACCCCGGGAAGCATGTGTTTGCATCTGTCGCCCCCTAAAGACACCCATGGTAATTGCTCCGTGAATTCAAAACGTTAGCAGTGCTGTCCTGAATGACAGTAACCTCCAACAGTCAGGAAATTAACTCGCCAACAATGCCCTGCTTCGCAGCCACGCCTGTTCCACCACCACTTTGTAAAGTGTGCCCTCAAATACTGTCCCTTCCCAAAACCGGTGAATCCAAAAAGGAGAATTCGCTACAGATTCTGACACCAAACACTGCTTCAGAAGTTGTCACACCTATTTCCGGTTTTCAGAAAGGCACGTTTATGTTTACCTTTGAAAGCATGCAAAACCAGCTGAAGGAAGTAGTCCTTGCCAACAACTTCAGTGTAATCAGTCACCAGAATGACTGTAAAGCCAGCGGCCAGCGGGTCGAATGACAACTCGTCCTGACCCCCGCGTGTTGGAGCAGGGCAGCAGTACAGCACCAGGACTTTCTTCCAGGTGCCTCTGGGCGGACTCGGCCCACCAGTCTTTAGGTTAGCAGCCAAGTGTACTGACGGTACATACGCAGAGACCCCTGAATGATCGTCCTTGTCTGTCAATTGCCCTTTTGTCTAAAGCGTGGGGAGGATGGGAAGGGGCGTGGGGTGCTGCACCTTCCGAGGTCCTGGCTGGGACAAGGCACTTACCTCAGCAGCGGCCGGCGTGGCGGCCAGCAAGGGGGCCTCAGAAGGCTCCATGGTCTCAGCGGATCCCCTCTCTGGGCTCTGCAGCTGGGACTCCACATACTCTCTTAGGGATTCCAAGTCCCTCTTGCCTTTGTACTGATCCATCTGCCAGAGACGCGGGCCACACAAGCATGTTGCTCATTAGAACATCCAAGAGCTCCAAGCCACTCAGAGCTTCCCCGGGTCCCCTACTCACCCACTCAAGGTGCCCAGGACATGGCTCAGCCACAGTTGCACAGGTTCCGCATGCTTACATGCCCAAATGGAAAGAACCACCCCCCTCAAAAAAAAAAATCCAATTGCTGCCAAGTCACTTTTGACCCCTAGCAACCGTTCCGTGCGCCTAAAGGGCAGAGGAACTGCCCCCCAGGGCTCCAGGCCCCGAGGGTCGCCTCTGTGCCCGGTGTGTTCACGTGGCTGACCTTTCATTTAGCAGCCAAACGCTTTACCACTACACCACCGTGGCACCTCCAAACGGACACAGTATAGCATGCATTATGCACCGAACACTTTGGTTTCGGTGAGGGGTTTTGCAACTTTTCCCTCTGCAGGGGCAGAACCAAGAGCGCCCAGGGTGAGTGTCTCTGGGCCTCCAGCCCCTTGTGATGTCTGGAGTGGCCTGAGGAGGTGGGAAGGTCAGCATAACCAGGAGTCAGCGCCCCCAGAGGCCGAGAGGCCGGGCACTCCCCTCAGGGCACCACCACCCTACGGCTGAGAGCCTGGTGAGTCTAGATTATAACCCAAGCCAGTGAGAACGTTTTCAGTAGCATAACAATGGACAGTTTTCAATTGCCAACTGCCCACATCTTTTCAGTGCCCAACCAAGGATCCTGGCAATTTGTTGCAAGCACTCAACAATTCATGCCATTTCAGTTAAGAGACCAATAATTCCACCTCTCACCTTCTTGCCATCTCGGAACCAGAGGAGAGTTGGGTAGCCTCGGACTTGGTTTCCAGAGCAGAGTTCGTAGTGCTGTGTGCAGTCCACCTAAGCATGAAGCAACATCAAGTTCACAGGCACTTTCGTCACTTGCTAAATTGGCTGTTGGACACTGGATACTAATTCAGATTCTATAGCACTTCTGCCAACAAGCTGCGGATTTTGGAGAGGCTCCATAAAGGCTACCTGATTGCACCTGAGCCAAGGGAGCCAGCTGATGAGACTGGAGCAGCACTGTCAAAAACGCTGTTTTACTTGGACAGACCAGACCTGGCCTAACTCGGGGTGGGGGTGCTGCAGGCTTCAAATCCATGGGGCTGGAAAATCCAGGAGGAACCAGTAGTCGGTGTGACACTGGAGTCTCTGCTACGTACTGCAGCACAGCACAGTAGACTACAATTCATCCACCACTCTCTAAGCTTAGTACGTTTAATATCAACGACCGGAGTTCTTCAGGTCTTTGTTTTATCTAATATCTGGTAACGACTCTGCTTGCCCAACATTTTCATGAAACATTTTATTCTAAGGGACATTTACCACCCCACCCTACTCCCCTCCCCTTCCTGGCAGAGCTCAGCTGAATAGGACTATATGCTAACAAATTAGGATAAAAATACTACCCCAACAGATAAGACTGAAGTCAGAAAGCAGTTAAAGTGTTCAACTGAGGGACGGAGAATTGATAAGCATATTTATAAGTCCAGACTGGCCCCGTGCCAGATCTGTCCAGAGGAGGAAGTGTCCCAGATGTGAGGTAGGTGATGCCGGTTCATGCCTGGCTCTGTGTGGGAAACCGAGGACCTGGGAGAAAATGTCAGTGGCCTATTCTCTACACTCATGACCACAGGGCTTGGAAAACCAGCCCCAGGGTTTCCAGGAAAACCTCCAGGGTCCGGAGACTATGGGTAACTCTGAAAACACACATTCTCCAGGGAGAAAGATTTCTCCCCAGCACCCTCCATTAAAATGCTAGTATAAAGCTGTCTCCTACAGGTGCTCCTCATGTGTGCACGTATGCAGTTAAAGGATGCCTACCTCTAAGGGCAGGCAGGTTCTTTTGTCCCCTCCCCCTCAAGGGGGATCTACTCCTTTTGTCTCTTAACTACCCGCGACCTGTCATGAAGTGTTCCCCTAAAGGGCTCAGGATACCAGAGGGTCACATGCTTCCCGTTCTGTGGAGCACGTGCCAGCTGGAGGCGTGCAGGCCTCCAGGTGCGGTAGAACCCCACGGGTGAATAAACTCAAGGCTCTTGTCCTGATACTGGAGATCAGACCCTGGTGTCCCGTTTTTCTGACCCCTTATTTCTCTAATTGCACCATCGTCTCCTCAGGACGCAATTCAATTGTGGGGGCTGGACCGCCACAGTTCTGTTAAGGGTTTCCAGTGACATGAACTGAAAAAAGAAATGATCCCTTATAAAAATGCAGAGACTACCTTAAAGGCTGCAAGGGATGAGCAAGGCAAGAGGCAAGGTGACGCTAGCATTATTACCTCTATGAAATATTCACCAAAGACAAGAATCATATTCACAACGCAAATATAGGCTACACTAATGAAAGTGGTTCATAAGAGCAGTGAAGACTCCATTCAACTAACAGCAGTAATCATCATTACAGTTTACCAAGCATGGCTCCATTCCAAGCACTGTATTAAGCATTTCACGTTCATCTTCAAAGCAGCACAGGGCTGATCTTGTCTTACAAAGGAGAGGTGGCCCAAGTCTCACTCCGAAGTTTATCCTTTTACGGCTCTCACCAGACAGAGCCCAAACCAGCTGACCATGAGCTGATGCCAACTCACGGTGACCTCACTCGTGCCCACATAGAAGTGTGCTCTGTGGGGTTCTCCCTGGCGGGCGTTTCAGAGGTAGACCGTCAAGCCTTTCTTCCAAGGTGCCTCTAGGTGGGCTGGAGCCTCACTCACACTTTTTGATTAGCAGCCAAGAGTGTAACTAACGGCTGCCCCACCCAGCGACTCCACCACCCTGCATAGATCACCTTATTAAGTACAGTTCTTGGATAAGCAGTCAAATCCAGGAATCGTATGAAAGGAAATCCACACCGTGGGAACAAAAAGATGGATGAGAGAAGCAGTATTATTAGATGAGCTGTAGGAGCCAGCTCTAGGCAAATAACCAGAATCCCCGGTTACACACACAGAAGTTGTCCGGTATCGCTTCTGGCTTTTTCTATGGAAAGAAAAAAAGCTGCAAAGCATTCTAGCCCCCAGGAGCTCCCAACGAACAGGGTCTTCTGTGGGCCCGGGTGGTTATAAAGCCAGGGGTGCTTCAGGAAAGAGCCATAAGGTGAGATCAAAGGTGGACGGTTTCCAGGCATGTGGAGGGAATGTTCTCCCATCTGTGCAGAAAGGCTCTGGCACTGCCAGTTCACAATTGGCCATCGCTTCAAATGAACTAAGCAGCCAAAGCCGTCATGGACCGACATGCTGTGGAAAAGCTAGCCACCCCCGGCTACCCTCTGCAAAGGTGCGATGAATGTTCAAGAGGCACTCTCAATGGCATGAATAAATCAAGCCTGGGGCTTTGCGCGCAGCATGAGGGATGGGCCACTCCACTAATGAATCTAGTCCACTTGCAGTTGAATAAGAGATTTCACTTACCTTGCCAAGCTTGACGGTTTCAGAATGTTCGAGGCTCAGCGCCAGCTGCTCCCAGATTGGAGCCAGAGCTTTGCAGTGACCACACCACGGAGCAAAGAACTTGATAAAGTGGTCGCCTTCCAGGAGCGCCAAGGTGGGGGAGGGGGAAAGAAATGAAATTTACACCAGACCTCACCAGAGACTTAACTCCAGACTGAAGGGTTCTGTACCTTTTGTTCAGCTATCTCAGTGCAGCATGAACCCTATAAGCAACAAGTGACTCTCCATCAAATGCTGCATCCGCATTATCAGTGGTTACGGGGGACAGGAGGGAGGGGCGGCATTCTTCAGGAACGCGGTGAGTTTATGGCGATGGGAAATGGGCCGCACGGCATGATGAATAGAACAGGTATCACTGAAGTGGACACATGAAAATCACTGAATGGGAGATGTAGAGTCTGTTACCTTTACACTAAAAAACAGAATGAAAAAAGGAGGAGGCTGGCCTCCATGATCCATGATGCTCAGGGCAAACCAAATGTGGTCTCCAAGGAAAGACCACGTGATTATTCTGAAAACTGGAACTAAAGAGAGACAAGAGGCATTTATCCTCCCTCTTTTGTACAACCTGTGTCACGGAGTTGAGGGATAGTTTCCTCTTGTTAAAAATAAAGAAGGAATGTGAGGTAGCGTTCCAGTACAGTACAACAGCAGATCTTTATTTACCGCATATACTTGAGTATAAGCCAACGGCAATATCAGCCAAGGCACCTAATTTTACCACAAAAACTGCAACCAAAAAAATGTGCTGAAAAACTGGGCTTATACCAGCCTGTGTGATCACGAGGTGCTGAAGGGATCAGTTATCAGGCACCAAAGAACAAAACATCATAACACTGTGTGTTCACCCCCATGATACGATC